TGCCGTGAGGTTGACTGAGGGGTCAACCCTTACCATGCCATGCCTATCCTCGCCTGTGGTCAGTGCTCAGTGAACCCCAGGCTCAGGGGCCTTTCCTCCTGGCCATGACCCCTGCTCCTTATACCTGGCCAGGCGTGGCTGGCTCCTGCTGCCCAACCCCTCTGGACCCCCCCTCCCAGCCCTGGCGGCCTCCACCCTTTCACCCCTGCCCAGAGACCAGCAGTCTTCACCCCACCCTGAGGCCACCCTGCAGCCAGCCTCTTCTACAGCAGAAGGGATGGAGGCTAGACACCAGGAAGAACTGCCTGGCAACAAGGCCAGTTTGCCCCTGAATAAAGTGACAGGAGCGGTGGGGGCCTAGACGAGGGGCTTCGCCGCTAATTGGTCACTGTCCTTGGGAACATGAGGGGTAGCAGGTTATGGGGAAAACTCATTACCAGAGAAGGGCCCCTCGGTGGGGGCCGAGACAGGTGCTGGCTCCCTGCAAGAGAGCTGACACCATCTTGTAGTTGAATTGTGGACGCTCCATGAGACGCTGAACAGTGACAGACCGGACCTTCTCAGCACCAGGGACCAGAGCCCACGAGCCTTTCCGGCCCGTCGCCTGTGGCCTGGTGGTCTGCAGATTTCTGTCCCCTCTGTGGAGGCCTCAGATGGTGCGGGTTCAGAATTCAGCCAGGCCAGGTCTCCACCTTCAGGGTCCTTGACACGTGAACTGTCCCTTTTGGGGTGAGGCTGCCGAGTTGCTGCCAGGGAAGCCAAGGCACTCATCAGAGAAGCACAGCATGGATTTTAAGTGCTGGAACTCAGAGTCTGTCTAGTCCAACCCTCCAGGGGAGACCCCTGGCACCCTCCTGGCCGAGGGAGCCTGAGTGCCGGGTGTGGCTGAGGGACAGGTGTGAGCCAGCCCAGGAATCCTGGGCAGAAGGTGCCACTGTGCTGGGCGGAGCCAGCATTTGCCTCGGGCCTGGTCCTCTTTCCCTGAGGCCGCTGACCCTTGGGGATCACTAAATGCACCCTCCCAGGCCCTGTCTCTGGACCAGGGCTCTCCCCCTGCCGTGTGACCTTGGATAAGCATGCTACATGTGTGTGTGCATGTGCTCACCCATGGACACTCATGTTGACAAATGTACCTGCACTGTGCACACAGACACACGTATGTGCACATGCCACATGCACTCACGCATGCATACAGACACCACACAGGTTGGCGTCTCTCTCTCCCACATCTCAGCAAGGGCCACTACCCCTCCCCCACTTGCCCACTGGAAGTCTCCTGTGACCCTCTGTCCCCACTGACTGCCCTCCTGGCCTGGATGCCACACAGACCCCCCCCCCGCCCCAGTAGGCAGAGGGACCCTGGATGGAGATCAGCTTGGGCCCTGACCCCCGCTCACCCTCAGGACGCCTCCCCTGGACGCCCACCCTGTTTCGGCTTGTCTGTCAGCTCCGCCTGGCAAGGAGGGTACTGCAGCCCGAAGAGGTGGTCCCAGGTGCCTGGCCCTGCCCAGTTCTGGGCCTGCCTGTGTGTGAGATGGCTCTGAGCGACCAGTGGGAGAGGGCCAGGCAGGTGGAATCTAAGGAGACCTCTGCTGGCTGCAGGACTGGCAGGTCTGCTGGGGGCGGGGCAGAGGGTGGATGTGGCAGGTGGGGGCCAGTGCCCTGCTGGCAAGTGAGGAGCTGTCCACACCGATGGCCTGGGCCTCCTGCCCAGCTCTGCGCTGTGACCCAGCCAGAAAAGGCAGGGCCAGGCTGGTTCTGTGGTTCTCAAACTCCTGTCGGCTGGGATGCCCTTTGGCCGACAGAGCCTTTCCCCAATCCCCGGGCTGGAGCAGTTGAGTCTGAGTACTGTAGGGAATGTCAGGGTGCCAGGAAGTGGCCTGAGCCCTACCGCTCCCTCCCCACTCCCTGGTGGCCCTTACAGGGGCCCCTGTGGAACCCCAGAGAACACAGGCATTGGGTGGTGGGCCTGGGCTGGAAGCCTGGCCCAGGTGCCCAGTACTAGGTCTGAGGCCCCACTATGGCATGGCTGCTCTGTGGACCTCATCGTGTCCATCCGTAAAATGGATCCATAACAAGGTACACCTGGGATCGCTGCTATGAAGACAAAGTGCCTGGTACAAGATTGGACTCAACACGTGTCCTGTCTCCCTCCTCAAGCCTGAGATGGACTCTTCCGTCTTCTCACTGAGCTGGGGCCTGCGCAGTGCACACGGTGTTGTGGCTACCCGCTACCCCTGGCACCGCACAGCCCGGCTTTCATGGCTAAGTGTCTATTCCAGGCCATACCTGTTTTCCAGATGGAATGACTGAGGCCCTAGAGGACCCTGTCGTGGCCGCAAACCCTGGGCAGCTGGTGCTTCTGCATCCCAGCTCCCGCTCCTGCTCCTGGAATTCCAGGCCCCCAGAGCCAGCCCCGTTCTGGGAGGGCTGTGGGTTGGAGCTGCCCGGGGCCGGGGTGAGGAGGGGTGATCTGGGAGGAGAGGGCCCGGAGGTGGACCCTGGCATGTCAGGCTGTGCAGGTCCCTCTGGGAGGAAGGTGGTGGATTTGGGGGTGCCACTGACTCAGAGTCAGGGATGACAGGATTGCCTGGGGCCTCCTTGGCACTCTGAGCAGGGGATGGGCAGAGTGAGGCCACTGCGCCATGGGTGGGAGGTGGGACTGGAGTTTCTGCTGGGCTTTGCGACATTGGCCTAAGGCTGTAGCTGATTCCTGGGACTCTGGGGCATTAGGGGAGAGCCTGCCTGGGGGTGGGGCTCCAGCTGGGGGCTGACAGTGGCATTGACATTAGGTGGGGACTAGGGGAGAGGGCCCTGCAGCTGGGGCCAGTCTGGGCTCAGGTGAGGCTCTGAGTTCAAGCTGTTGTGACCAGGTAGACACACCGCCACCTCCGCAGCAAGGCGAGGCTGGGTGGGGGCCTCGTGGGTCCAGGACTGGTTGCAGGACCCTGGCCATGGCCTCTGATACTGAATAAGATGGGGTGGGTGGCCAGGGCAGGCAGGGTCTTCGATGCCCGTGTCCATGGCATGTCCAGGGGTGAGGCTGGAGGAGGGGCTTCTGGGAGGCAGGGGCCATGGGCAGCGTTGTCCCAGGTCTGCCCCAGAGGCATGGGGATGAGAAGCTTAAATTGTAGGTTTGTGCTTCTTTAAAAAATTCCCTTCTTGGGAGGCCCAAAGGTTTGCCACTAAGGGAGACCACGGAGGGCTGGGTTTGGCCACATCTGCTCCCGGGGGAGTCCAGAAGCCCCAGCCTGCTTCCTCTCCTGTGCCCCTCTGGCTAAAATTCCCCCCAGTGTAGCTCTTCCCCTCTTGCTGAGAGCAGTGAGGCTCCCACCTCCACTTTACAGATGAGGAAACCGAGACTCTGTGGTGAGGGACTTGCCTGAGGCCACACTGCCGTAAGAGGCACAGCCTTAACCAGCTTCTGGTGTCCCGGCTCCCACTAGCTCGGAGCCTTGGCCCAGGCTGGGGCTAGGCACAGAGGCTGCCTGAGCCCAGCTCCCTGCTCTGCCTACAAGGCCCGTGCAGGAAGGATGCCAGGAGGGGATTGCAGAGCGGTGACTGACCTTGTGTAACCGGCCAGCTGGGCCCAGACAGCAGGAAGTGGCAAGTCCCACGGACAGGTGGCTGGTGTGTGTGCAGTCAGCAGAGTGGAGGCGTCCACACCAGGAGGCCAGGTGGGCTGGGGGAGGGGGACTGGCTGCAGTTCCCTTCCTGCTCCAATGGCTCAGTGGGATGGACAGCCTGGGCAGGGGCTTTGGGGACAGTGGAGAAACTGAGGCCTGGAGGCAGAAGGAACTTGTCAAGGCCCAGAGCCAGGCAGCTCTGCTGTGCCCCTGCTCACATGTGGCTCATATGTGCTCAGTCACTCAGCCAGGGCCCTCTCCTGGAGCTGGGACGTGTCCCCCAGTGGCACAAGTTTGGGGCCAGTCTGGGTTCTCCCACACACTCTGTGACCTTACGTAAGTCACTTATTCTCTCTGAGCCTCAGTTTCCCCATATGAAATGATGGGTAATGGTGCTGGCCTCACAGAGGCAGCGGTGGAGCAAGGTGGCTCCTAGTGGCGCCACACCCTGTCCCTCCCCAGGCCCTGTGCCTGGAGCTGTCCGGCACGATGGGGCACGGGGGCCCGTGGCACAGAAGGTGAGTGGGAGGCCAGAGGGGAGGCTCCTGGCAGGCATGCATGCGGGGCCAGCGGGGCCAGCAGGGCAGGCAGGAGGCCAGCTGATGGCATTCACAGCAGGCACAAGTCTGAACCCCTCACCCCAAGGATCCGGTCACTCCTGCTGCGGCAGTCTGCACCCCCACCCCCAGGCCTGGGGGGCATGGCCAGAGTGACCTTTCTCCTCCACTGTCTCTCCCACTTATCTTCCTGTTGGGTTTGCAGAATCTTCCCAGGGAGGAAGGAGGTTGGCAAGTAGGGACAAAGGACAGCTAGGAGAGGGAACAGAGAGCCTGGGAGAGCCAGGCTCTGTGTACTCAGAGGGGGTCAGCCCCAGAGGAGCCATGCTAGGCTGACTAGCTGGACGGGCACAGCCAAGAGGCTCAGGCCTGGGTGGGGCAGGGGCCACTTTTTGCTGCCCTGGCTGGGTCCTGCCCCTGCAGGTGAACACGCTGGTGGGTGGCAGACACAGGTGGACTGAGCAGGTGCCTGGGAGGGCACCAGGCCTGCATGTGGCCATAGTCTTCTTGCCCTCGCTGGGAGCCAGGCTGCACTGGAGAGGCCCAGAGCCCCCTCCCCAGGGGCTCACTCTCGCCCTTCTGCTATTTCTCTTGCAGCTGCTGCTGGTGGCCACAGGCAGGAGCCAGGGCCCTGGACTTTCGAAGCCATCGCTGCCCTCTCTGTCACCTGAAGCCGGGCCCTCTCCCCATCCCAACCTTGTCCTGCACCCCCACCCCTGGCCCCCTGCCCCCGCCCACCGCCGGACCCTGGCATGTCCAGGCCTGGCCTGTGCCTGCCTGCCCAGCCCGCAGAAGCCCGGCGGCCGCGCGAGCTAGGATGAGGGGCCAGGCCGCCGCCCCGGGCCCCGTCTGGATCCTTGCCCCGCTGCTGTTGCTGCTGCTGCTGCTGGGGCGCCGGGCGCGTGCGGCCGTCGGGGCAGACACTGGGCCCGGGGCCCAGCCGTGCGCCACGCTGGTGCAGGGCAAGTTCTTCGGCTACTTCTCGGCGGCTGCCGTGTTCCCCGCCAACGCCTCGCGCTGCTCCTGGACGCTGCGCAACCCAGACCCGCGACGCTACACGCTCTACATGAAGGTGGCCAAGGCACCCTCGCCCTGCGGTGGCCTAGGCCGCGTGCACACCTACCAGTTCGACTCCTTCCTCGAGTCCACCCGCACCTACCTGGGTGTGGAGAGTTTTGACGAGGTGCTGCGGCTGTGCGACCCCTCCGCGCCCCTCGCCTTCCTGCAGGCCAGCAAGCAGTTCCTGCAGATGCGGCGCCAGCTGCCACCCCATGACGACGACCTCGGCCCCCCTGGTGGGCCCAGCGATGACTTCTCCGTGGAGTACCTGGTCGTGGGCAACCGCAACCCCAGCCGGGCCGCCTGCCAGATGCTGTGCCGCTGGCTGGACGCCTGTCTGGCTGGCAGCCGCAGCTCACACCCCTGTGGCATCATGCAGACCCCCTGTGCCTGCCTGGGTGGCGACACCAGCGACCCTGCCTCTGGCCCCCTGGCTCCCCGCGGGGACGTCTGCTTGAGAGACGCTGTGGCTGGTGGCCCTGAGAACTGCCTCACCAGCCTGACCCAGGACCGGGGCGGGCACGGCGCCACAGGTGAGTGACTGGCCGGGAGAAGACCTGGAGGCGGCTCTGCGGACAGGCTCTGCCGACTGGATGGGGGCGGGTGAAGGTCTCGCAGGCTGCCTGGCCAGCAGCCCGACAGGGGAGCGCAGAGTTCACGTTCGCTGCAGGTGGGCCCAGGGTGGGGAGCTGGGGCCCAGCAGGGCTCTGGCCCCTGGCAGGTGCTTGTCCAGTGTTGAATGAACAAATGAAGGAGGGAACAATGGGGCCTAATTTCCTCCAGGATGAGCAGTTGAAATCCCTGGCTGGGCGATGGTCCTTCGTTTCTCTCAAGCAGGGCAGCTCTAATGGGCCAGAGGCTGCCAGGCCGGAGGACGCAGGGGCCTCTTGGCAAGGACGGCCATGCTGGGGCCGGGCCCAGGCTCTGTGGAGGTGAGCAGAGCGGGCTCTCTGGAGGTGTTGTCAGGAGATGGAGTTTCAGGTTGAGTTTGGTGCGGCCACACAAATCACGCACTCGGCGGCTCGTTACTGAGCGCCCACGGCGGGGCAGGGGAGACAACAGCAAAGCCCCGCTTCCAGAGCCGCCTTCTCACTGGAGGGAAGAAGGCGCCACACGGTAAGGTGCAGCAGACGCATTGGGCGTTGAGGGTGCTGCGGAGACAGGGCAGGGCCGGCCATCATGGCGGGGCTGCCAGGGCCCTCGGAAATCAGGGAGGTCACCTGGACCAGGGACCTTGTTCAAAGTTCTGGGAGCCGTGAGGCAATGGCATTCCAGGCAGAGGGAACAGCAAGTGCAAAGACATGAGGTGGGGGGGGCGGGCTGGTCCTTGGAGCCTGCACAGGTGGGGGCTTGACCGGCCTCGGTGCAAGAGGTCGGCCTTGCATATGCCTGGGACATGTGGGAGCGAGGAGGGGGCCCAGGGTCTTGGTCGGAGCACCTGGGAGGCTGGGGTTGCTGCCGAGATGGGATGTGGGGGCATCTGAGGGGCTTGGGTTGACAATGCCAGGCAGGTGCTGATGGCATATCTGTTGCTCAGGCCAGGCTGGGGACTTGCTGCTGGGAGGGTCATCATACGGCAATGGGGACCCTTAGGGACCTCTGGGGGCTTTAACTTCCCAGGGGCCACTGAGCTCTATGGACTCCTAAGAATAATGTCTTTAAAGGCATAAAATAGGCTCCGCGGGGCCACAAAAGAATGCAGTGATCCTGGAACACAGATGCGTTCATGCCCCTGGGCCATGGATCTCAGATTGGAAACTGGGGGGTCGGGAGGGAAGAGGTCTGAGGTTCAGATGGCCTCTCCGGTGGCCCGAGGAGGGGGGCAGTGCCCCTGGGCTTTGAGGGCCCAGGAAACCAAGACAGATGGGTCCATCGGCTGCATCACGTGCCACCAGTGGCCGGGTAGGAAGGGCTGAGGACCAACCGTCCAGCCCGGCAGAGTGGAGGTCACTGTGACCTTGGCAAGGACAACTTCTGTGGTATAGCAGGGATAGGAGTCTAAGGGGCCTGGAGAGAATTCAGCCAAGGGCATGGAGGGCTCTTTGAGGAGCAGAAAGATGAGGTGGTGGCTGGTGTGGGGGTAGGAAGCGCAGGATGACCGGGCCCTGCATCTCACCCTGCTGCTCCCGGCCACGTAGCCCCTCTGAGCCTCGGTTCCTTCATCTGCTAGATACTGACAACTTTGCAGGGTTGCTCTTTCAAATTGGATGTGATGGATCTCAGGGGCCCGGCCCACAATCACACCCAGCGCGCGAGAGCTGGTCCTCATTAGCATCGCAGGGAAGCGACTGTGCCAGGGAAATGCCGAATACTGCTCAGGGCAGCGTGGAGCTGGCAAGAGCTGAGTGTGATAGCTGCACGCTGATGAGCGGAGGGTGCTGGTGGGACGGGTGCAGTCCGCGCTGGAGGAAGCGTGGCATTTCACTCCTCTGCTGAGCACCTACTAAGTGCAGGCCCTGGCGGGAGCCTGGCAGCTCATGCTGGCCAGGCCTCCTGGTGAAGTTTGCAGGTTATCTTGAGAACCAAAGGGCCGCGGGAGGGCTTTAGGCAGAAGAGTGAGTTGCAGGGGCTGCGATAGCAGAATGGCTGTCGGGTCGGAGGAGCAGCCCGGGACATCCAGGAGGAAGCCGATGCTGGACCAGTCAGGGAGCCGCAGCAGAGGAGAGGGAGGAGGACAGCCTTGGAGGTAGAGCTGACGACTTGCTGATGAAAGGACGTGGGCATGGAGGCAGGAGAAGGCTAAACCCCTCCCAGGCTTCTGGCCAGGCATGAGGACATAACCCAAGGTGGGAAAGTGGGGTGAGGGACACGGGAGGAGGAAGATCCGGAGGCCAGAGTGGGACTCGAGTGTGAGATCCTGTGGTCATCCAGGTGGCAGTGTCTTGTGAGCAGGCAGCTCTGGCACCTGGAGCACCAGGACAGGGCCAGGGTGGGGCAATGGATGCTTGGAAATGGAGTTGGAGCCACATATGCAGGGCCCCAGGGCCTGGATTCAGATCCCAGCCTGACCCAGCTCGCGTGTGTGCCTGGGCCAGTTCCATCAGCTCTCTCATCCCCTCGGGCCCTTATCTTTAAAACAGGAAAAATAAAAATAACTTCTTTCCTAGATTTCCGTGAGGAATGAGGACTAGAGTGAAGTGTTTCTAAGCAGAAGCAATGTTGACGGTGAAATATCAATATTCTCACTTATTATTAGGCAGGGCGACTCCAGAGGGCTCAGGGAGCAGGCACGGATTGGAGGCAGGGAGGTGTGGAGACCAGGTTTTGGCAGCTTGGGGTGCACGTAGGGATTGTGATAAAGGGAGTGCCTAGAAGGGGTGCTCAGAAGGAGGAGAGAAGGTGTGTTTTCATACTTGCGTGTGGCCAGGTATGGTGTGTGTGCATTTGTGTGTATGCGTGTACATGTGCTTGCATGTATGCAGCACATTGTGCATGTGTGAATGTGTGTAAGTACACATGTGTGCACGCATGGCATGTGTTGTGTGCATGTGTACAGTACATTGTGTATGTGTGTATGCACTGCATTGTGTTTATGTGTGCACCCATGTATGTGTGTATTCATGGTGTGCTCATGTGTGCGTGCATCCAGTGCATTGTATGTGTGCATGTGTGTTCATGCATACCTGTGTGTGCACCTATGTATGTGCATGTGTGCATTGCTCTGTGTTTATGTGTGCAGTGCATTGTATACATGTGTGCTCATATATGCATACGGGCAGATGTGTGCACACGTATGTGTGTGTGCATGTGCGTGCGTGTGCCTGTGTGTTCATGTATACATGTATGTATGTGCATGCAAGGTATGCATTGTGTGTGTGTGTGTGTGTGTGTGTGTCTGTGTCGAGGCTGGGCTCTGTGCAGCAGTTTTGACAAAGCACAGTGTAGAGGCAGGGCCGCAGTCTGCTGGGAACATGGTCTAGAGAGCCTTCGTGCTGAGTTGGCAGCCACTTGAAGCAGGGAGCTCATCTTCATGGGTAGGGTGGGTGGGATAGGCGCAGAGACAGCTCAGACCCCAGTCCCCATGCCCTGGACTCCAGTGGCCCTGATCCTTCCGGGACCATGGGAGCAAAAATGATCTTAGCAGTAATAACAGTAGCCATTTGTTGAACATTTACTTTGTGCCAGGAGCATTCACATGTTAACTAGCTTACTCTAGGCTGGGTGTGGCGGCTCACGCCTGTGATCCCATTGCTTTGGAAGGTGGAGGTGGGAGGATCACCTGAGCCCAGGAGTTCGAGACCAGCCTGGGCAACATAGCAAGACCCCATTTCTACAAAAAATAGGAAAAAAATTAGCTGGGCGTGGTGGTACACACCTGTAGTCCTAACTACTCAGGAGGCTGAGGCAGGAGGATCCCTTGAGCGCAGGAGTTGCAGGTTGCAGTGAGCTGTGATTGCGCCACTGTACTCTAGTTTGGGAGACAGAGTGAGATCTTGTCTCTAAAAAGATTTTTTTAATTTAAATTTTTTTTTAAAAATGCTAGTTTACACTTATAGCAGCCCATGAGATAGGCTCCCCATCGAGGCACCCTGTGCCACAGGGCCTGTGCACGGGCTGTCCCCTCTGCCAGAAACACTCTTCCCAGATACCTGCTTCAAGGGTATCTTCCTCCTGCAAGCCCTCACTCAGGTGTTTCCTTCTCAGTCAGGCCTGCGCTGACCATGCTGTTTAAAATGTCAACAGCCAGCCCAGCTCTCTGACCCGTCCTGTCTCTGTTCCTCTTCCCACAGCACAAGTGCCCTGTGCACACACTGGCCACTTCCCTTGCTTGTGTCCATTTCTTCCCTGTCTGTCCATGCCAAGGTGTCAGCACCACAGAGCAGGGTATTTGCCTGCTCACTGATGCCCCCCCACCCAGAGTGTGGAACAGTAGCTGGCACGTGGCAGGCACTCAGTAAATGCTTGTGGAGTGAAATCAGGCACAGAGACATTATGGCAGTGGCCAGGGTCACACAGCTTGTAAGTGGTAGGCTGACAGCAGAACCACTTGATGCTGCCACCAGGTGGTACCACCTGGGCTACTTCTGGCCACCTGGTACCACCAGGGGCTCCCTCTGAAATGAGCTCTGCTCAGAGAGTTTGTGGGGAGATGGGGTGGCATAAGGACCAGAGAGGTCAGACAACTATTCAGAAGACACACAGCTGGGCTGGGACAGGTGGCCGACCCCCGGATCTTGCATGCTGAGCCCTGTGCCCAGGGAGCTCTGTCCCTCACCACAGGCCATGGGGAAGCTGGGACAGGTTTGTCCACCCATCCCTGTCCAAGCGAGCGGGCAGCCCAGACGAGGCTGTGGCCCATTTTCAGCCCTGCCCCCCACCGGCCTGTCCAAATGCCACATGGCCATGTCACGCGTCAGACTCTGCGAACACTCCTCAGGCCAGAGCAACTGTTCCCTCTGCTGCCCGCCACCCACCGCCCCCTCTGCGGCTGCCGGGCTCCCACTCCCACCCGGGCCTCGGCCTGTCTCTCCCTCTCCCAGCCTCTCTCCCATCGTCTCTCTGCCTTCTTCTGCCTTCGACGAGATGGGGCCAT